CATGACCCCACCAGCTTCTGGGAATTCCCCAGTTGTCCAACTGCAGGGTTGGCTGGCCAGCCTGGAATCCACAGTCCTGACTGACTCACTGAAAACTGCTAGCAGATACCGGAATCTGAGACCTGTGCCCTGTGGTCATAGCAAAGGAAAACCGGGAGAAAGAAATATGTGAAGGGAGGTGAATTTACCTACGGTTTTGTCTAGAACTGGGGTGAGAAAATTCTTAGTTTCTTTCCACCTCTTCTGTTAACAGTATTGGCACTTTATAGAAATGATGAAACAAACCCCTGGAAGCATGCAGATTGTCAGGTCCAAAGAAGGCCTTCCAAAGCGTGCTGCTGACAGTAACAATCCTTGACAATCTGGGCTCAGCTTAGACTGGACTCTGACTGGGCAAACCGAAGGCCTGCTAATGGATAGTCAAACCTAAACTCAGCATTCCCGAGAAACCTTGTGAAACTGGTTGCTGTTTGTCAGGAAAAGCCATTGCTTTTCAACCTCTAACAACCTCCAGCAAGGAGCATCTAGCCCCCGGTTAATGCAAACAAGCCCGGAACAGATCAAGTCTCCATGCCAGTGCCCTGGCTCTTCCCACCCACTACAACCCCACTTCCCACTCAGGACTCTAACTCCTAAGCTGTTCCTGCTCACACAGCTCCCCCCTCCTACTACAATGTATCCCCTTAAAACTGGTAAAGCTTTCCCTGCCTTCTGTTATTGTCTATGTCCCCAAGAGATAGCCTTGGCAGTTTGGTACCTAATAAACCTTTCTTTCTACCCACAGAGTGGTCTAGTTCAGTGGTTTCATTGTGGTTCAGCAGCAAAAGAGGTAATCAGAACTTCCTGGAGTTGAGACCTTTCTCTGGTTCTGTAGCCTTGGCCTGGTCCCTCCCCCAGCGTGGGATCTCCAGGAGAATTTACTGCTTTGTTAGTCATTTTCTTCAGAGTCCTTGTAATGCTTTTAGCTACTTTGAGCTCTTGTGGAATGAAAGTAGCTGGTGGGTTGTAAAAGGTAAATTTTATTTTTTGCTCTGTCTCTCAGGTGAGAGCAACTGTTACCTCTGCCAGCCATTGGCTATATCTCTCTTTTCTCTCTCCATGGAGGCAAAGCCCCAGTTCCAGGAGGAACATGCCCAAAGGACTTCCAGACCTTAGGCTCTCAGAAGCTGGGGACAGGGAAAATCCCTGTGATGGGTGAACGGTTAAGCAAACTGGAATATGTTCAGCTATAAAATGGATAAAATACTGATGCATGTCACACCTGGTATGAATCTCAAAAAAACCCCTATGTTAAGTAACAGGATCAGCCAAAAATTACCACCTAGTGCATGACTTCGTCTATATAATGCCTAGAGTAAGTAAACTCATCAAAATATAGACTGAGGGAGGTCTTTAGGGGTAGGGGAGAAGGGAAAGGAGAGAGGCTTTTTAATGGGTATGGAGTTTCCTTTTGGGGTGATGAAAACATTTCATAACTAAATGGTAATAATTGTACAGTTATGTTGTGAATATACTAACTGCCACCGAATTGAACATTTTGAAATGACTAATTTCATGTTATATAAATTTTAATGTATTAATAGTAATAGGGGGAAAAAAACAAAAGAGTCCAACTACAACAGTGGTTCTCAACCTGTGGGTCATGACCCTTTTGGGGGTCGATTATCAGATATCCTTCATTTCATATATTTACGTCACGATTTATAACAGTAGCAAAATTACAGTTATAATGGAGCAACCTAATAGTTTTATGTTGGGGGCCATCACAACATAAGGAACAGTATTAAAGGGGTGTGACATTAGGAAGGCTGAGAACCACTGGGCTACAGAGTCTTCACTTCAGGCATGTTCTTGTATCAAGGGCAATCGTCAAGATGTAACAGGAAGTTTGAAGATAATGGTGTTATGGTTTAGATATGGGTAGTGTCTGCCAAAGGCCCACGCATCAAGGACTTGCTTCCTTGATTGACAGTATTTAAAGAGGTGCTCAGACTTTAGGGGGTGGGGCTTACTGAGAGACCTTAGGTAATTTGGAGGTATGCCCTTAAAAGGCATTGTGAGCAGGCTCACAACCATCTTCAACTCCAGTCCAGGGGATCTGATACCCTTTCTGGCCTCTGCAGGCAGCGGGCACCACATGGCGCACAGACATGCATGTAAGCCAAACACCCATATACACAAATAAAACAACAATAAGAAAAGCAGTGTGACCCTGCCTGTGTTTCTTACCCTGGTTTTCGGTGTGAGCACTGGCTTCTACTCACAGTCCCGTCATAATGCACCACCTTCACCAGAGGCTACGCTACTCTTCCCAAGGTGTAGGCTGAATAAAGCTTCTCTCTGTATAAAGTTAGTTGCTTCTCATATTTTGCTGTAAAAAGGCTGACTAATACAAGTGATCTGGGAAAACGGATGTTTGTGTTAGGACTCAGTGTCTATGTCTCTCCAAAATTCACAAGTTGAAAATCCTAATCCTTGATGAGATGACATTAGGGCGTGGGGCTTTCAGGAGTAATTACATCATGAGGAGGGAGCCATCATGAATGAGGTTAAGCTCCTGTCATGGTTTAAATCTGAAATGCCTGCCAGGGGCTTATCTGTTTGAATTTCCATCCCAGATGATGGCATTGTCTCTTGAGGTTGTGGAACCTTTAGAAAGTGGGGCCAAGCTAGAAAGAGGACAGGCAGCCATCAGGGATTACAGCCCAACCCTGTACCTAGCTTGAGCATCTTCTCCCCTTCCTGATCTTCTGTGGAGGTTAATATTGCCACCTTGATAGGCTCGAGAATCATGTAAGAATCATGTAAGAGACAAGCCTGTGTGCAAGCCTGTAAGGTATTAGCTAAATTAGGTTAACTGAGGTGGGAAGATCCACCTTACCTGTAGGTGGTACCACTATGGCTTGGGTCCTATTCTAAAGCAAAAGGAGAAGGCATCAGTGTCCATGACTCCTGTTTCCTGACCATGCAATGTGGCCAGGAGCCTGAGGCCTCTGCAGTTATTTCTTCCTGGCTATGAGGGACTGCACCCTTGACATGAGCCTTTGCTCACGGTAAACTTCTTCCTGTCAGGTATTTGGTCCCAGCAGCAAGAGGGTTGATTAATGTACCCAGCACAACTTAAAAGGCTTGTGAGTTTCTACTGCCGTACATGAGGCCCCAGCCACCATACCTTCCCCACCATGGTCAAGTGTAACCCCCCCCCCCCCGCTCCCGGTCCTTGAGCCCAAACAAATCCTCCCTCCCTGAAATTTCATCTGTCAGATGGTCACTAAGAGAAGGGTGGACCCAGTTTGACCCTGGACTTCCTAGCCTTCAGGACTGTGAGATATAAAATTTATATTATTTATAAGTTATTCAACTTATGCTAGTTTTGTTATAGTTACACAAGTAGAGTGAGAGAGTGTGCAAATATTAGTGATATCAATGTCATGAAAAGTAAGATTTGTACTGAAATGCATTCATAAGCCAAAGAGAGGTCATTTTTGTGTTTTCTCCTGCCATCTCTTTTTCCCTTGGGCTCACTTGTTGGTGGCTGGAGGGTTAGCTGTTGCCTCCGCCTCACTGCATAGTGGCATCTCTGATTTTGCTGCATTTGGATTAAATGGATAGTCAGGTGTTTAGTGTCGAAATCTTGTCATGTTTTTAAAACAAATGAAACCTCTAAAGAAGACATGCAAAGAACCAACATGCACCAGATCTCAACATCCTCATCCCTCACGGAAACGCAAATGGACACCACAAAGAGAGATGCATATATGTTGCCAGGATGGCCGGGACAAAAGGGATAACTAGTAACAAATGTTGCTCAAGGTCAGAGAACCTGGAGCCCTTCACATTGCAGAAACACAAAGGAGATAGCTAGTTCAGAATAAATCTCTATCCGTTCATCACAAATAAAAACGCAAAATCAACACTTAGCAACCCTAGCTCCAGGAATACACTCAAGAGAATTAAAAGTAACACCACACAAAAGGTGGTGCACAGGAATTCTCACCCAAATCATTCACAAAGTCAGAGAAGTGGAAACAACACAAATTCCCATTCACTGCAGAGTGGATGAATGAAATTTGGTACGCCCATACAGCATTACATTAAAACACTGTGCTGAGTGAAAGAAGCCAGGAGGCCACATGGATAGTTTATTAAAAATTAAAAAAAAAATTGTCTAGATGAGGCTAACCCATCGAAACAGGAAGTAGATTTGTGGTCACCCAGTAAGCCAGTTAGTAATTGTGCTGGAGGAACTGGGGAGTGATTGCCCATAGGAATGAATGAAGTTTCTCATGACGGTTAAGCAACGCTGTAAATAGGCTAAGGAGAATTGAAGTGCACACTTAAGTAGGTGAACTGTGTGTGAATCAATAAATGTCAATAAATATGCTGCATTAAAATAATACAAGGTTGGAAGACAGGGAATGGCTCAGTTAGTAAACAGCCTACTATGCAAATGTGAGGACCTTACCTCGGGTCCCTCACAGTCATGTGAAAAAGCCAGGTGTGGTCACACGTGTAGGTAAACCAACCAGGGGAGGGTGGAGACAGGAAGATCCCTGAAACTCACTGGCCAGCCAGTGTAACCATTGGTGAGTAGCAGCTTCAGTGAGAAATCCTGTCTCAAAAGCTAAAGTGGAGAGCCAGGAAGAAGGCACGACAGCAGCCTCTGGCCACGGATTATTTCCTCACACCATACACATGCAAGTGCACTCACACACACAAAAACAAAAAAACATTAAAAGACAAATGGATCATGCCCACACACAGCAAGACAAATCTATTGCTTTATAACAACCTCCCAAGAGATCTGAGAGAGCCTATTTTCAGCATGAGGAAGGCTCCTCGTTTCTCACGTCTTGCCGCATTTATTTGATGAACTCTAGCTGTGCACAGAAGAGGAGCTGGGAGCTCCTGGGGAGGTGGGCACAGCTAGGGTCCAGCTGGAGCCCCACTAAGCCCTTCACTGCCGGGAAGCCTTGACAGCCGATGACACCAGTACTCACCTGTACGAACCAGATAAGACAAACCTCCAGTCTGAGATGATGAACTTCTCTTGGATTTGGCCGGCAAATTTCCTGCCTGACTTGGCACAATACACCTCTCCTTCCACACTCCTGATGGAAATGTTCTGTTGGAGGCAAAGTGAAGGTGTCACTAAGTGCGTGTTTATCGATCAACACGTGGACTGTGACTCAACATGAATCCCTAATTCTCTGTTGAAACCTAATCTCCAGGGCAGTGGTTCTAGGAGGCTGGGCTTTGGGAGGTAATTGGCTCATGACGGGGGCACCTCAGGCAGGGATCAGTGCCCTATGTAACTGACTGGAGAACTCCCTCATTTTGTCTGCCGTGAGAAGAAGACACAGTGAGACAGCCATTTACAAACAAGGCAGAGCGTCTCACCAAGCGCTGGATTTGCAGGCATCTTGATCTCAGATTTCTCCGTCTCCAGAACTCTGAGAAATAAATCTCAGTTGCTTATGAGCCACCTCTTCTATGACAATCTGCTGCAGCAGCCCAAACACACAGAGACAATTTGCATAGGAAATTGGAAGGATGTTCACCAAGATTTTATCTAAGCTTGGAAAGCTTTTAGTAGTATTTACATTTTTTGTTGGCCTAGTTTTCCAACATTTTTCCATTGCTCTGGCAATAGATGGTAATGTGGGGAGGAAGTTAGAATTCCAACAAAAATAAGATGACAAATAAGAGAAAGACAAGGGCTTGGTGGCCCAAGGTGCTCCTACTGTAGGCCTCCATGATCTACAGCAGTTCTACATTACTGAGGAGTAACTCCATAGGTGGCCTTAGTGACATGAATTCCTTACCCTAAGTTGGCCAGAGAGTTGGCCCAGTATAAGAGAAGACAATGTTATGAAAGCCCTGTGACCCTGGACCATTCTGAGAAAAAGGTCTGGTCATAACCCCAATTCTAACTGTTTATATCTTGTCTCCCTGGCAACATCTGATGTCTGTGCCTCAGCTGGACCCCATGGAAGACTATAGAAATGGAAGAGCAGGGGATGTTGGGGATTTGCTTTAGGTTTATAGCCAAGGGCTGTGGAATATGGCTAGGACCCCACCAGTCTGGGAAGGACTCTCCAGTTCCCTTAGAAGCTCCTCCCTGCATCTCCGTGGCAAGAAGAGGTCACATCCACAGCTCTGTAAGTGTTTTCCATGAAGGCAAGGCCTGCTTCAACCCTCTCTATCTATTATAATCTACCCTTTGCAGAGGAGTAGAAACCCAGAGAATGCCAGGCAGACCTTGAGTGACTGGCTATAGATAGTGGCATCAGGAGGGATCCCTGAACTCAGCTGCCTCAGCCAGTGTGGAGGAGATGGTGTTTGGGAAGCTGATGGTATGTCTGAGCTGGAAGGGAGAGATTTCAGAGGATATCAGCTAAGCCTATGCATGAAAGTTATGAGTGGTTTTCCTCTTGACCTCAATTCAGCGCTCTCAAGTTTATACGACTAATTAAATTCTTATCTCTGTGCTGCTTTTCTTCCTGCTAGGAGAGGGAAATGTGTGTGCGAGTGTGAGTAGTGCTTTTGTTTAGGGAAGGATCTAGGTAAATTAAGACTTTTTGTTGGGGCCAAGAAGTTCAAAACATATTATCTTTCTTCTTTTTCTCCTTCTTCTTCTTCTTCTCCTTCTTCTTCTTCTTCTTCTTCTTCTTCTTCTTCTTCTTCTTCTTCTTCTTCTTCTTCTTCTTCTT